TAATCTCTCCTGGCTGACATGGCAGCCATAACACAGCCTCTCTCCTGGCTGATGCAGCAGCCCTAACAGTAGCCACAATATAACCATAACATAGCCCTAACGGCTAAGGGGCTTCCCCTGTAGCTCAATCGGTAAAGAATCTGCCTGAAATGCAGGAGACCTGGGTTTGATTCCTGGGTCGGGAAGATCTCCTGGAGAAGGAAATGGCAACCCACTCCAGTATTCTTGCCTGGAGAATCCCATGGACAGAGGAACCTGGCAGGCTACAGTCTATGGGGTTGCAAGAGTCGGACACGACTTAGCAACTAAGCAGAGCCATAGCGGAGCTCTAACATAACCTCATATAACATAATCATGGCATCACTCCAACGTAGCCCCAGTGTAGCAGCAGCCAGGGCCCCAGGAGTCCCACAAAGTAACCCAAGTCGAAACGAGTGCCTGGTGACACACACGCGCAGTCCTGTAAGTGATCTCCGCTGTTACATAAACCTCATGACGTCCATGCGCAGCGCTACCAGTGAGCTCAGCTCCTACACAATCATTATTTACCAAATGCGGGGCAAGAGCGAGAGGCCATGGGGCAAGAGAGCCTGACCGTGCCATCTTGGCTAATCTGCTTTTTTCCTACAGTGGACTTTCTGCAATGTTTTAAAAGATTGACATCCATGGCAGTCCTGATACCACTCATTCTTTCTTCCAACCCACATCATGAAGGAGTTTCCAGAAATTTTAAAGATCTTGCAATTCAGGAAGTAAAGACCAAGTGTTTTTACTTGCAAGCATTTTTATTAGGATGACAAATTGGAAAGATATCTATATCCTGCTTTTGTGAAGGGATTAAGCACTCCATTGGGCTTAAAGAAAATCAGGTTGCCATGAAGTGTGAACCCTCCCACCACTGACATCCCTGCCTACAGGAGGTACTGTCTTGGGAGGGGTTTCCTGACAGCAACCCAGAAAAGCACCAAGTTGTTTGGGGGTAGATGCTAGTAAGGTACACACAGACTCACAACAAACTGTGATTAACACACATAATACTGATCTTTTATCACAGTCCAGGAAGTTGGAAGCAAGCATGTATTTCATCTATGTATTGGAGCTTCCAAGTCTTCAGCCCTGCTCCCTCTCTGCAGTTCCTGCTTTGAGGTCATCAGAGACCCTCTCCCCTATCACTCTAGACAGCAGCTTTTTGGTTCAGGTGCTCTCTCACCCAGGAGAAAAACCTGAGACCTAAACATGATCCTTGATCAGTTTGACCTACCATCTCTGCTTTCAAAATTGCCTCCCAGACTCTGCCACCTCTTACTAGTTCATCAAGCACTGGCATCACTGTTCATCCTCTCACCTGGACCACATACTTATTCCGCCCATTCCCACTTTGGCCCTGCTGCAATTCGTTTTTCTACAGAACATAAATCTCATCTGATCTCTCCCTGCTGAAAAGTATACAATAGATTCTCAATGCCCTTAGAATAAGATCTAAACTCTTCAGAACAACCGATAAAATCCTTCCCGGCCTGTACCTACCTACCTCATTACCGCGGATCTCAACCTTTCCCTTTCTCTATACTCCAGCCACCTGGCAAAGACCATCCCTGACCCCCTAATCACAGTGGGTACCACCTAATTACAGCAGGTGCACTCCCTGAACTAACTCCCAATCACTGTCTGTCACATGACTCTGTTTTCCGTCCTTCAGGTACTTGTCACTGTCTGCAGTTCTTATTTATTCATCTGTTTACATTTGTGTTATCTGTATCCTCCACTAGAATGAACACCATGACAAAAAGAACCTTAGCTGACCTGGCTATATCTATATGCTTAGCACCTAACATGGTGCTAGATGTTTCACTGAATGAATTATTAAATGAAAAAAAATGAATGACTACAATTTATAATTATATAAGTTAATTCCACAGAATACTTATTTTATTAATAAGTGTGAAGTACTACTGTTAGATGAGCCATCATTTGCTAGCTCTATGCTTTAAATTATTATTTAATATCCCCCACTCTCAGTTTTAACATCTGAAAAATGGGTCTAGTGATTGTCTTGACCTCATCAGGGTGTAAGAAATAATGAAGAAGATGTGCATAAAATACTATTCTTGGCACATGGCATAAAACACTATTCTTGGCACATGGTATACATTCAATAAATGCTAACTATTAGTGGAGGGTAAGATTAGAATGTTCTAGTTAATTCTAAAAAGAAGAACATTTGCTTTATTGCGGAAAACGGTATGCTCCTCCCCAAATAGTGGGCTTTAGAAAACTGATGTGAGGAGGAATCCCAGATATATCCCCTTTTCTCTGTTCTTACCAATTATGAAACCCTCTAAGACAGAAATCATGCCCTCCTCATCACTCCTTCAGGGTATTCAAGTAGCTCCCAGCCACTGTTCCTGCCTTCAAATAGTCTCCTTTCTACAGCATAGTATCTTGGTTCTAAAATCTTACGGTCTCAAGAACTTAAATAACCTGGTCCCATCCTCCCACCGTTCTTAAACCCAACTAACCTTGAGGGCATTCTTCACTCTCGTTAGAACAACACGCTCACAGTGAGAGGGAACATAGCATAGTAATTAAGAGCAGGGCAATTAGAGCCAGACTGCTTGGCTTCAGATGCCAGCTCCTTCAGGTAAGTGAAGCTCACTTACTAGTTACTTAGCCTCTCCATGCCCTGGATTCCTCATCTGCAAATGGCAAGGAGAGTAACACTGCATCTGTCATAAGCTTTGGTGAGAATCATAGAGTACGTGTAAAGCACAAAGCTTGACACGTAGCAATGATGATGATGATGATATTAAGCCTCCACCAGAAACTACTCATCTTCCTAAAACACAAATCCGATCATGCCACATACATGTTCAAAAACTTTTAATGTCCATTGTCAACAAGATGAAATTAAGAATCCTAAGTTTAGGACACTTAAGCACAGTGCAAATTCTTCCTACTGCGGTGATAAGCCACGTTTGCAACTTTATATTTCATTATTCTCCTCCAGTGCCTCCCTAGAGGAGATTCAAAATCTGTGCTTTAACCAACTGACACTTTTTGCCATCCCCAGAAAACACCATGGCATTTTGTTTCTCTGCTTTACTTGCTGAAATTCCCTTCCTATTCCCTTTTACTTATGAAGTTCCTGTTCATCCTTCAAGACCCACATAAATGTTCCATTTTCACCAAATGCTCCCCAAATCTTCCAGGGAAAGGCAGGGGCTCCAACCTCTAAACTCCCACATCTTATCTAGAAAACCTGGATGCACAACTTGTATTGTCTGTCATTTGTCAGCTTACTTCTCTGTGACCTCTTCTATGGCCTCCTCAATGGCAGGAAAATATTTGCATCTTTTTTGCATAATCCCTGATTTACAGCAGCTTACAGCTCAAGCAATGAGTATTTGACTGATACCTACTGAAGTGATGTGGACAGCAAACAATTCTAGCAGAGTGATCCAAAATCATAAAATCATTCTAGTAAGAAGATGGCTAAAATAAAAGCAGTTTTCATGTTGAGCATCTTTTGGATCCTTCATTGTATTAATCTACATCTCTTTAAGCTTCTGACTCCTCTATATTGTACAATTTTCTGCTTCATTTTAGAGGCTGAGTCATTTTGTTTGAAGATAAGTCAAGAAAATATATTTTTAAAAAGATTTCAAAGGAAAATATTTCTAAAGATTTACCACTTTAATATTTTTCCTCCTTTAAAGGAAGGCTAAAATATCATACTAAGTTTCATGCCTCCAATTATTTAAATAATTTTATTTTTAAGATTCTAGTAATTTAAATGTAACTGAGGGATCTCCCCATGTGTACTCCATAGAACACTAATCTATGAAAACAAATAAAAATGATTCTATGGTCAAATAAGTTTGGAGAAAACTACATGGCTATATCTCTTTATTAAAAAGTCATGGGACTTCCCTGGTGGTCCAGTGGTAAGGACTCTGCCCTCCAATGCAGGGGGCCTTGGCTCGATCTCTAGTCAGGAAACTAGATCCCATGTGCCACAACTAAAACCTGGCACAGCCAAATAAATTTAAAGAAAAGAAAGGAGGAAAAGTCATAAACCACTTTAGCATATTAAAGGCTCTGAAAGGTCAACCAGCAAAGAATTCAGTATTTCCCAAACTTATTTACCAGAGAACCCTTTAGTATTCTTTGAAACAAGTGTTCATGAAACTCATTTTAGGAACTACTGCACCATTTAGCGTCTAAATGGCCCAATACAACTAGTGTGGGGGCCATAAATAATATTAATTCATAACATGTTTGGATGAAATTTTAAAGGGCCTCCATCACTGTCACTCATGCAGATCTGAACTCTCACCTACATGCCCCTGACACGTTTTCATTCAAGGCACAAGTGAAGGGAATGAAGGGCAAATAATTTGTTACAGCTCTGATAAAAAAAGGGGCTCCTTAATACAGAACCAGAATCTCTTTCCCTGTTGATTCCATCTGTTCACACAGTCTCTTGGAGCCATGTGAAATCTTAAAATAGTATCACTTTTTCAGCCAGAGGGCTTAATCATCATAAAGAATCTTTGGTTTCCGGTAGAACAGCAATTGAAAAACTTAGCTCTCTCTTCATCTGAAAAGTAGACAAGAAAATGTGAAAACAATCTGCAGATACCTAGCATGCCAGGTCATTATTAGTGATGTATAATGATTGGAAGATAATAACTCAGTACCTTTGAAGACTGAAATGAAATGTCCATGCAGTGACAAATAGCCAATGTAAAGAACCCTAATTTGACAACAAAACAATCTAAACCCCTTTTATGAGGTGAGGAGTATGTCTTAAGTAATAAACACTTAAGTAATTAGATGCTTTTATGGAGATAACTATAAACTGAAACATGGGAGAAAAATCTCGGTAATAGGCTGACGCCCTGGGAGGTGGGTATATAAGAGCCAGGGGAGAAGACAGAAGCATCGAGACACCAAGAGACTTCTCTCATCAACCCAACAAAAACCCAACTCCTGACACCATGGCTTGCTGTGCTCCCCTCTGCTGCAGCGTCCCCACCGGCCCTGCCACCACCATCTGCTCCTCTGACAAATTCTGCAGGTGTGGAGTCTGCCTGCCCAGCACCTGCCCACACGAGATCAGCCTCCTCCAGCCCACCTGCTGTGACAACTGCCCCCCACCCTGCTGTGTGCCTGACACCTACGTGCCAACCTCCTGGCTGCTCAACTCTTCCCACCCCACTCCCGGACTGAGCGGGATCAACCTGACGACCTTCGTCCAGCCTGGCTGTGAAAATCCCTGCGAGCCCTGCTGTTAAGCGGCCACATCTTTGCTCAGGTTCAGTGATGTGTTGCTCAAGTCTTAATGCATCATCTGGCCTTCAACACTCACTACTACCTTCATCAAACAAAACCAATCCCAATAGCCTGGGCAGTATTTTCATGCATTTGCCCAACTTCTTGATTCTTTCTTCTTGTGGATAGAGTTGGAGACCTTCTTTCTGTCTTTTAGATTATATCACTGTCCTTTGGAAATGAACCATTTTGACTATCCAATAATAAACTTCATTCTTGCCTAGCAAATATGGTTTTGTGATTATTTGTTCATATGTTTCTTCTTAGGGAAAGTGAAATGCCTACCTAAACTAGAACAGCGGCTCATCACACTGCCCAAGATTTACCCCAGCAGAATGAGAGCTCTCATGGTGGAATCATTGAAAAATTAGACACTGCTTCTTTGTGATGAGCTGAGAAGTGAAAAATTCAACAGGTTATTTTTTAGGATTCCCACCCTCTTTAAAAACTGAGATATACTTGTTTTACAATATTATATGAGTTTTAAGTGTGCAACATAGTGACTCACAATTTTTATAAGTTACACTTCACTTACAGTTATGATAAAATATTGGCTATATTTCCTGTGCTGTACAATACAGTCTTATGCCTTATTTATTTTATACATAGTACTTGGTACACAGAACTATACAAAAAAGGTCTTAATGACCCAGATAACCACAAACATGTGGTCACTCAGCTAGAACCAGACATCCTGGAGTGTGAAGTCAAGTGGGCCTTAGGAAGCATTACTGCAAACAAAGCTAGTGGAGGTAATGAAACTGCAGCTGAGCTATTTCAAATCGTAAAAGATGATGCTGTTTAAATGCTGCACTCAATATGTCAACAAATTTGGAAAACTCAGCAGTGGCCACGGGACTGGAAAAGATCAGTTTTCATCCCAATCCCAAAAAACAGCAATGCCAATGAATGTTCAAACTGTCATAAAATTAGTCTCATTTCGCATGCTAGTAAGGTTATGCTCAAAATTCTTCAAGCTAAGCTTCAGCAGTATTTGAACCAAGAACTTCCAGATGTACAAGTTTGGCTTTAAAAAGGCAGAAGAACCAGAGATCAAATTGCCAATATTTTTTGGATCATAGAGAAAGCAAGAGAATTCCAGAAAAACATCTACTTTTGCTTCATTGACTACATAAAAGCCTTTGACTATGTGGATCACAACAAACTGTAGGATATTCTTAAAGAGATAGGAATACCAGACCACCTTACCTATTTCCTAAGAAACCTATATGTGAGTCAAGAAGCAACGTTAGAAACTTACATGGAACAACTGACTGGTTTAAAACTGGGAAAGGAGTACAACAAGGCTGTATATTGTCACCCTGTTTATTTAACTTCTATGCAGAGTACATCATGTGAAATGCCAGATTGGATGAATTACAAGCTGGAATCAGTTGCCTGGAGAAATATCAACAACCTCAGATAGACAGATGATACCACTCTAATGACAGAAAGTGAAGAGGAGCTAAAGAGCCTCTTGTTGAGGGTAAAAGAGAAGAGTGAAAAAAACTGGCTTAAAACTCAACACTCTAAGATCATGGCATCCAGTCCCATCACTTCAGGTCAAATAGAAGGGGAAAAAGTGTCAGCAGTGACAGATTTTATTTTCTTGGGCTCCAAAACCACTCTGATAGTAACTATAGCCATGAAATTAAAAGACACTTGCTTTTTGGAAAGAAAATTATGAGAAAATCAGACAGCATATTAAAAAACAAAGACATCACTTTGCTGACAAAGACTTGCATCATCAAAGCTGTGGTTTTTCCAATAGTCATGTACAGATTTGAGCGTTGAACATAAAGAAGGCTGAGTGCTGAAGAACTGATGCTTTCAAATGATGGTGCTGGAGAAGACTCTTGAGAGTCCCTTGGACTGAAAGGAGATCAAACCAGTCAACCCTAAAGAAAATCAACATTGAATATCATTATAAGGACGGGCAATGAATCTACAAAACTTTGGCCACCTTATATGAAGAGCAGACTCATTAGAAAAGACCCTGATGCTGGGAAAGATGGAGAGCTAAAGGAGAAAGAGGTGGCAGAGGATGAGGTAGTTAGATATCATCACTGACCTAATGGACATGAATCTGAGTAAACTCTGGGAGATAGTGAAGGACAGGGAAGCCTGGTGTGCTGTGTCCACGGGGTCCCAAAGAGTCAAACTCAACTTAGCAACTGAACAACAATAAGCTTATTTATTTTATACAGAGTAGTTTGTACCTCAGTCTCCTGCCCTATCTTTTTCCTTTCCACTTCCCTCTCATTGGTGACCCCTAGCTTATTCTCATTATCTGTGAATCTGTTTCTTTTTTTGTTATATCCACCAGTTTATTTTTTAGATTCCACATGTAAGTGATATCAAACAGTATGTGACATTCTCTGACTTATTTCACTAAGTATATTACACTCCAAGTCCATATGTGTTGTTGCAAATGGCAAGATTTCATTCTTTTTTATGGTTGAGTAGTATTTCATTGTTTCCATATATACCATATCTTCTTTATCCATTCATCTGTTGATGGACACTAAGCTTCTTCCATATCTTGGCTATTGTAAATAACGCTCCTATGAACATTGTGGTGCATTTTTTTTCAAATTAATGTTTTCATTTTCTTTGGATATATATCCAGGAGTAGAATTGGTGGGTTATATGGTAGTTCTATTTTTAGTTTTGGGGGGAACCTTCATATTGTTTTCCTGAGTGGCTGCATCAATTTACATTCCCACCAACATTGAACAAGAGTTCCCGTTTCTTCAGATCTTTGCCGGAAGTTTTATGTTTTCTGGTCTTTCATTTAGGTATCTAATCCATTTTGAGTTTATTTTTTTAAATATAGTGTTGGAGAATGTTCTATTAATAATATTACCTGTCCAGCTTTCTTTGCACCATTTACTGAAGAGACTGTCTTTTCTCCACTGTGTATTCTTGCCTCCTTTGTTGTAGATTAATTGACCATAAATGTGTGGACTTATTTCTGGGCTCTCTATTCTATTCTGTTGACCTCTGTGCCTGTTTTTCTACCAGTACCATACTGTTTTGATTACTGTTGCTTTGTAATATGTTCTAAATTTTAGGCTTTATTACAAGATAACCACTGGCACTATGCCAACCCACCTCTTTTTCAGTCAAAAACAAAGGAGATTGATGTTTTCATACATGCTTATAGGGGATAAATATTTAGGTTTTATTTTTAATATCAAAAATAACTCTGAGTCCTTTTATTACCACTGTGGGCCTTTAAGCATTAAAGGGCCCTTGGCGAGCTAAAAAGCCTCAAATGTAAAGCAGGTGATTTGTGTTCCAGTTCTGGCTCTGTCTCAAGCTGCTTCTGTAACCCTGATCAAGTCACTTGAACTCTTTGGGTCTCAGGTCCTACATCAGTAAAATGGGTTGGTTGACCAAGTCCTCTCTAAAATCACTTTCAGCTTGAACATTCCTTGATTCTAGATTATTTAGAAACATTTTAAGTAACAAATATTCCATGCTGCTAATCAACCCTATCTTACTGTATTACTTTTACCTCTTTCAGTCATAATAGCTAATGTTTGGTAAGTATATCCTGCACACTCTAATGTGTACTGTATGTGCCTTATCCCATTTATCCCTAACAAAAAAACCTAACAGGTAGCTACCATTATTCTCCCCACTATATAGGTGAGAAAACTGAGATGGAGAAATTACTTGCAAAAGCTACATAAATAGTGACAGAGGAGCTATCTGAATTCAGAGTCCTTCCTCTTCCCACTATACCAAAGCATCTGCCTCCTCTGCAGACAACAACATGCCCAAGAGAAATACAATTGCATACAGCTTTCTTTGTCCAGGAGAAAGTATATGCTACTTGACAATACATGCTCTACTTGACAACACATGCTTGTAGATTGTCTATTTGGTTGTATATGGCAACAGTTATCTCTGTGGTTGTTATAGCTTAAGACAAAATGAGTATACACAATGAGTCTAGGAAAAACTGTTTATGTTTCTAAGATGAAAATAAATCATGTTTTTTTAAGTCAGACTTTAAATACTGATGAGCAACATCAGCACACGAAAAATACTGACTGGTTCATTAATCTTGAATTAAAATGTAGAATGTTTGGCAACTCAGACAGATTTTCAATTTTCTGGTGAGTTTCAGTGACTTAGTTTAAGATAAAACAAACTACCCTTAAAGATCGTTTACCCTTGAGAATAGAATAGAAAATCAAGTCATTTCATTTTCTTTCAAAGATCTGGCCTCCAGGTCTTTCTTTCTATCTTTATGGATGGACTCTAGCCTAATTTAGACTCTGATCACCACACTTAAGATCACAGCCAGTCTCCTCGTTGATCTTGAGTCAAGTATCCCATGCTTCTTCCTCCACACAAACTATAATTTTGTCAGAATAGATTTCTATTTCTCTATAAATACTGGCTAAATTGAGTTACTCATAACTCTTAGATGACTCAAGATTTTTGTTTTTTAATGAGTCAAGTCTAAGTTCTGCAGTGTAACTCTAAGACCCTCAATAATCTGGTACAACCATTTTCATCGAATACTAGTTGCTACTTGTCTTGGGCAACATGAATCCTGTACTCTATCCAGAGCAATGCTCCCTATTCAGTGGTCGAGAGAGAGGTCTCTGAAACCAGAAACCAGACTGTCTTGCTCTAAATGGTACCTCTTGGGCTTCCCTGGTGGCTCAGATGGTAAAGAATCCACGGCAATGCAGGAGACCTGGGTTCGATTCCTGGGTTGGGAAGATCCCCTGGAGGAGGGCATGGCAACCCACTCCAGTATTCTTGCCTGGAGAAGCCCCATGGACAGAGGAGCCTACTGGGCTGCAGACCGTGGGGTCCCAAAGAGTCA